GGAATATATCTGTTATTTACGTTTGGGGAAGAAAATTTTTTAAATAAAAGTTACTTCTTATTTTATTATCTATAATTTTTGTTATTTACAAAATTTTCCTAAAATGGTCCGTATTCGAGAAATTTGACAAAATGTAAAAAAATATTTTTTTTTATAAAAATTGTTCAAACAAAAGTTGTTTGTAATATAATTCTCTATAATTTTTGTCCCATAGATAATTTCTCTTAAATGGACCGTATTCGAGATATTTGAGAAAATGTGTAAATTTCGAAATTTGAAGAAAACTCAAAAACGGATAAAGAAAAAATCAATAAATTTTAAACTTAAGTTTTATTTTGGCCTGACGTGAAATGATTAGATTTTGGACAAAGTCGGAACATCTGGGGGGGTACTTTATGGGAGGCCGTTTATATATTTTATGGAATATATCTGTTATTTATGTTTGGAGAAGAAAATTGTTCAAATAAAAGTTACTTCTAATATTATTATCTATAATTTTTGCCTTATGTAAAAATTTCCTGAAATGGTCCGTATTCGAGAAATTTGACAAAATGTGCAAAATTCTGATTTTTATGAAAATTGTTGAAATAAAAGTTGTTTGCGATTTCGATCTCTATAATATTTGTTCATACATGATTTTTTTTAAATGGACCGTAATGGAAAAATTGTAGGAAAAGTGCTAAATTTAAATTTTTCAGTATTTTCATTTTCAATATAGAAAAATGTTTCGCGGTAGATGTATGTGGAAAATGTATATATATATTTAGTTTATCCTCTAAACATTTATAGAGATGCTGCAATAGGTTGTACACAATAAACGGAAAAAGCCTGTAATAACTAGATAGGAAAGTCATGTGTTGGACACATCAGATTTTTACAAGAATAAGGATAAAAATGGAATTAGAACCTCCAGAACTCCTAAACACAAAACTAAACTTTGCAACAGAGGTGAAGTGCCTAGGTGTTACCTTTGATAGAAAGTTAAAATGAAACTCGCATTTAGAAAACAGAGTTAAAAGAGCATACATTGCTTATGAATAATGCCGCCAAAACGTGGGGTGTACCTTGGGTTCCTCCCCAAGAGTCGTCGCATGGACTTACACGGCTATCACAAGACCTATGCTAACATACGGTGCAGTTTTCTGGGTACCGAAAGGCAACCGTCTTGCTGATTCACTAGCCAAAAAAGCAGCCAAGTTAATACTTTTGGACCAGGCTTTTCTATTGGCCTGACAAAATCGGTAGTGACAGACGTGAAATTCAAGGAAAAATGGGATGAAACAAGAAACTGCAGAGTTGCCAGGGAGCTCTTAAGTTATCCTGACAACACTGCAGCAAACAAATACTTGACAGGCATTCTGACTGGTTATTGCCAAGTACGAAAGCATCTCCATATCATGGGGCTGTCAGAATCCGCACTCTGCAGAGAGTGCGAACAAGAAGATGAGACCATCGAGCATATCCTTTACGATTGCTCGACGCTCTCATTTATTAGAAGATTTGTGTTCGGCGAGTATCGACTAACACCGGCCGATATATGAGAAGCATCTCTTAGCGACGTTGTTAATTACAATTAATCTATAGGGTAGCTCACGAGATAGGAGGTGCCTATCATCTTAGGAGGATGCACAATGTGATAATGAGGCCTAAGTGCCGTGGGGGTAACCCACCCTTTGCACGTTACAGATACAGATGATCGTCTAAAAGGACCATCGTTATATATCCAACCTTAAAACGCAATCAAAATAACAATTACACATTAAATTACCAATAAAAGTAGCTTGTATTTTCTATGAAGACTGTACTTTCCCTACTTAAGTTGTATTGGTTAAAGTGGCCAGAAGGGAGGGAAATAACATGAGATAGTTAATGATATGTCAGAGGCTTCCCTTGGAATAAAAATTTAATTTTTTTTTTGAGTATAAAAAATATCTTTCAAAATATTCGATAAGAACTCAAATTTTTTTATAATATCAGGAAAGTATCAATTTTCATCTTTTGTAGGAGTTTTGAAAATGATTTTTTTATCCAATTTCGAAGCGCTATTTCACCACTATAGACTAGAATTAACAAAAGTAAAGGTCAAACTTGGAGTAGTGGTTGTATACACGATAGGTAGAAGTTAAGAACAATCTTGAATGTCGTGTAAGAAGAAATATTTAACAAATTTTACTTAACAAAGCCCTAAGAACTTTTCGCCATCTTCAGTGCCCATTGTCTTGCATTTTAAAAGAAATTATAATTAATTATGACAAAAACATGTCTATAGTTTCTCATTTTAACCTTTATATTATAAAAAATATCTCAGCCATATACTCTTGAACGCAGAGTCCTTGTTATCTGAAAACTAAAATTAATCTCTTCACAGTTTATAATACGTCTTGCATATCAAAATTGAAATAAGAACCGAACGCTTCACATAAGAATCTATTTTTGAACGCACTTTGGGCACGATTCCACGATACGTGGGGGTCCGATAATGTTTTTGTGGGCCTCCCATTGGCGAACATTTTTCGAGATGATATGTGCCAGTTTTTATTGCACATGAGAAATTTGTTTGGAATGTTTTGTTTTGAGGTGTGTCAATTCGAAATCTTCGTAAACGTTTTGTTGCTAACTTAAAAGCAAACGATTTTGGCTTGTCAATAAACATAAATATTTATTGGACAAACAATTCAATTCAATATAGGTATTTATTTTTTCTACAATTGTACAATATTATAACAAGAGTACAAGTTATTTAAATAGAAAGAAAAATAAATAGATTGTGTGCACATGTTAAAGGAGAGAAACTGAATTCCTTCTGATCCCTTATCCAATAACAAAACTTAGAGTGATTTTTTTTGTAATCCTTCGAAATGTATTTAATTAGATAATTTATAAAAGGAATTAAATAAAAACATTTAAGCGCCATTCTGTAGTAAATCTATGAAAATTTGCTGCTTTTTGTTTTAATAAAAATATCTAGTAGTTTTTAAGTGGGAGGGTTTCTCACTTTTTTCTTAAATGTCTCTGCCTTATCTTTGCACAAATTTAAAGCTCCCAATATTCTCTAGACACATAACATCGCGAAGTATTCCCAATGGCTCACATATAAATACATTTAGAAAATCCTAACATTTTTGCTTTTCGCGAAAAGTCCGGTTTGCTCTTAAATAAAACTACTTATTGGAGACGTGTATCATTCATTCAAAAAGAAAAAATGTTAATTCAAAATTTCTATAAAATAACCAAAAATTGTTTATTGACTTCAGTGGCGGCTCGTGCCTTAGCTAATAGGTGGAGCAACGGATTAACATTTTCGGGTGCCTAGCCCAGATTCTGACTCGAAGTCGTTAAAAAGCATATCTTGGGTAATATTTTAAAGTATATTAACGTGCGCATTTATCATTTTTACAAAATAATAAACAACAAAAAACTTACCAGAATTTAGATTTGAATAGTAATTTATTACACTCCAAACCTATACAGTAAAATAAAGAATATTGTACATTGAACGATATTTGAAGTCTAGTCTTCGTTCTGTTTTATTAGCGAAAAGGTCAATCAATCCTTTATTAAAGTCGTCAATGTTATTTAGAAACACTTTTTCACCTTATAACATTCCTAGCGCACTTAGTCTTTCTTCTTTCATTGAGTTACGTAAAAAAGTTTTTATCTTCTTTAACATAGAGAAACATCTTTCAGCTTCGGATGTTGACATAGGTGTTGTCACTAAAACTTCCAATAATTTAATAGTTTCTTGAAAAGTGTTCATATCTTCCTGCAAAACTAACGATAATAGAGGAATGGCTCCAGAAATGGTTTGCAACTCTTCTCTTTCGTAAAGTACTTGCAGTTCTGTTTTTAGACGATTTTTTTTATAAATTGATATGCGTTAACTGTATCAGAGAAAAATTGATCAAGAAAGTTTTTTTGGTATTCGATAAAATGTTCTTTCATGAATAATGCGTAGCTATCAGATGTCCTGTGAAAGTGAATCGTGTCCTAATCTATTGTATAATGGAATTGCAAACTTCCAATGCTTCTATTTTTCTATTTGTTGAAACAGATAGATCGAAATGAGAGTAACGTCGCCTTTTCTGAAGAACAAGTTCATCTTTGGTTTCTAAAAGCTCCGAGTCTATTTTGTCAATAATTTTATCCATTTTATTACGAATTTTTTGCAATGCATTTTCAAAGTTTTTTAGATTTTATTTAGTCTTGTAGGGTCGGTATTAATCGTCTGCAGTTGCTTAAAAATTATTTCGACATGTGGCATCACTTTATGAGAAACTGTTGACCAAAATATGAAATATCTGCCCTGTAATCTAAGTTTATAAGCACCGGCTTGCGCAATCGTAGAATTTAATATCTTTGTCGTTCTCTAAAATATCCATAACGTGTATCAGTACATTTCGGTATTCATAAACTGTATTAACTCCCCGTGATTGGAAATTCCATCTCGTTTGTGATAAGCGTGGTAATCGTCTATGAACTATATCATCCAATACTTTTATTCTTTGAGCACGAATTCCAGTTAAATGAGCGAAAAAAATCCGAACAGACGCATTAATTGAACCGGCACTGCTCATTATAAGGTTAATCTGATGTTCATAGCAATGAACATAATTTGCTGAAGAATATTTATCTTTAATTATTTTTTGTACCCCATTCATACCTCCGCTCATGACTGACACTCCGTCATAACTCTGCGCGATCAAATTATTTGGTGTGTCATTAATTAATGGATTAATTTAATTTAAAATGCAATTTGCTATTGAAATGGCATTGTGTCCGGGAGGATTTACAAATTTCCAAAATCTTTCCGAAATGTTTCTACTTACTGGAGGCAATGTATCGTAGAATAATGACCAATTGAAATTCGTTAGCAACATCGGTAGTTTCGTCATCAATTACAGCTACATAATTCGTTTTTTTTTATTTCTTTAGCCACTTCTTCATGGTAAACGCCAAGCATGCAGTTTAACAGTTCGTTCTGTATGGTCTTAGAGGTCCCTTTAAATACTGTTGCTTTGTTGAAATGTTCCTTCTAATTCAGAACTTAAATCTATCAATTCTCGGAACACTCCTTTATTTTTGGATTCTTCGGTTTCATCATGTTCGCGCAATGCTAATACTAATGCACCACATATCTAAAACAGTTAATAATGATGTTTAAAATATATCTGTTTTTATTAACTTGTTTATTGTGGGTAATAATATTTTGTCTATAAGCCGAATTTAATTGTGTCAGTATATTTGATTTTCCAAGCAAAGAATAACTAAAAATATTATTTACATAAGCCTTACTGTTTTCATGTGTTTTAATTTGCTTACAAATGTATACCAAGTTAGTTACACCATGCATCGTCCACGAAGAATCGCTCCCAAACAAAACACACAAAAAACAAAAAAATGCGTTTTTTTCATCACATCCACAAATCCAGTTATTTTTTAAGTACAAATTACGGTTAAACTTTCTTATCCGGCCTTTGAAGTTTGAAGAACTTGAGGTGGAAGCCTTCTGCGTTTTTATTATTTCCAAATCGGGAAGAGGTCTCCCAAGTTCCTTTATTTAAATTTTTTCTCGAGCGAGTGCGTAGAGAAAGGTTTCAGTAACAGATTGCTTATTTTATTCATTTTGCTTCGGACTCTCGGACGATTTTTAATTTATTGTACCTTAAAACTATTCTAACTAACTACCTAACAAATAAAAATTCAGCTCACATAAAATGTCAAAAGCAATACGCCGAACTCGCCGAACACGCGATTGAAACAATACTATTCTATTTATTTCGAGCCGCTTGAAACGTGGCCCCGTTTGAATGTATAAGAAGCGCTTTCTACTGGAGAATAGCGTGACTTTTAGTAAACTTTTACAATGGATTGATATGGAAGCAGCCAGGCCACTGGTAAATGTGTTCGGATAGACGGCGGATAGTCAATTGCTTGAATTATCAAATTTGTTGTGTCTAGGATGAATACGACGCAAGTTTTTTCAACGAGATCAAATTAAATAATGATAAATAATTTATATAATGTATCGTTTAGCCATAATTTGATCCGACAATTGTAATAAATATAAAAAGAAATATTTTTAGAGACCTAAATATTTACAAATTTTGCGCCAGTGCCAAGGCCCTTTATCCCCTTAGGACAAGCCACCACTGCCTGAATTAATGTTAGTTATGTAAGAATAATGATAGAATATTTATATTATTATGCAAATCAGTGTTCACATAAAGTTACAAGAATATTGAATAGTGAAGGGCATACATCAGTGTTAAAAAAAATTAAATATTTTAATAAAAATTCAACAACTATAGTTTTTCATCCAATTTTACATAGTATAGGGTTCCAGTCAATGACTTTAGGAAAATGAACCTATTGCAGAACCTAGGGGAGAATCTGGAGATCCTTCATGAGATCAACCTAAATTCTAGTAATTGCTTAAAGTTCATCTAATATGTAAATTTAATCATTAATATAAAACTAAGTATTTGGAAATTACAACAATTAAATTAAGATACAGTAAATTCGGTTATTTTCTTGAAAATTTTACACGTCTACTTTTCAACCAATAAGATACCTTTTTTTATTTAACGAAATATAATGGATATACCTATATGATTTTTTAGAATTTATTTCGTGTTGAACTAATATCTTCATTGACAAATGTCTAATTATATCGACTAATAAAGCAAAATAATAACGAAATACATTTAATTTTTATAGGTTTTATTAATATTAAAAACACAATTATTATAAATGGCTGGCTTGAATTGGTGGTTTGAATCTGGGTACTTTCTGTTTTATTTTGCATTGCGCTCTGATCATGATTAAACTTGCTAGTACTTGATGAACTTCTCCTCATGGATTCAATCATCTGATGATGATGTTCAACGTCCAATTATAAGTAAGTTTTGATTGACTGACTATTACTGTGTCCAGTAATTGTAATTAGCTGTTGTTTACAAACTCCTTCCTTGGCCAAATTCGAAATAGCTATTGCTCTTGCAGAATGATTGGTTATTTTAACTTTTTTAGTGTCAATTTCTATATCAGAGGCTGCTGATTTAAACCAAGAAGATACAATGTTTTTACCAACTGGGCTATTCTTGTACCATCCTTTCGAATTGGGTTGACTCCAGTATGGGTTTGGTGTTAAGAATAATATGTCGGTCTGAATAAGATTTGGCTCAACTTTCGTTTAGCCGAAATCTGTGATGCAAAAATTGTTGTCATGATAACAATTGTGATGGCTATAAGTAAACAAAAACCCTAATCTCATGATAAGGAAATGCGTAGTTGCCAAGTTGTAGATGATTGCGGTTTTTGTTTAATTTCATTTAGCTGAAATGAGTTATTCAAAAAATGTTGCCATGGGCACGACTAAACAAAAACCTAAATGTCGTGGTTGGAAAATACATAGTTGCCAAGTTATAGATCATTTAACGTTTACTTTAGTTTAGTCGAAATTAGTTATGAAGAAACTGTTGCCATGGAAACACTTGTCATGTCAACGACTAAACAAAAACCCAAATCAAGCAGTGAGGAAATGCTTAGTTGCCAAGTTATAGATCATTTAATTTTCACTTTAGTTTAGCCGAAACCAGTTATGGAGAAAATGTTGCCATGGAAACGCTCGTCATGTCAACGACTAAACAAATCTTGTGGTGAGGAAATGCGTAGTTGCCAAGTAGTGGTTAGTAGGTGGGTGGAACGAGCGTAGCGTGATCTTATGATATAGGTGGAAAAAAGGTGCGCCCGGCCAACGTTTCGAAATTCGCGCACGCGAATGCGTCGGCCAGGCGCTCTCGCTTCGCTCGTTTTCCTCTGTAGTGGTTAAGAGGTGGGTGGGAGGAGCGTGGCGTGATCTTATGATTCAGGTGGAAAAAAAGGCGCGCCCGGCCGACGTTTCGAAATTCGCGCGCGCGAATTTCTTAGAACCATCTTGTGTGGTTTTAGAGAATATTGGATTATATTCTATCCGACTTTTTGGGTTTCCAAAATTATCAGTTTCTTCTTTAAAGTATTGGATACACGCAGAATATCCTTCCACTCCTCTCCATGCTAACTCATGTGAAAATATGTGAAAAAAATTACGCTGCAATCCATCTGGATTATTTTCATCCCACATTTCAATAATTTTTTTGTATTCGTCACTGTTTAAGGCTGAAGCACTCACTTTTATTTTTAATGGGTATCTCTGTAATATTTTCGCTTAGCATCGCGTGCAGCTGTGGTGGTCGCAAATTCCACATCAGAAAACGGATTAAATTTTATTTTATATTTTTCGTAATAAATTTCTTGTAACTGCTTAGCAGTAGAGTTTCACATCACTTTGACAACACTCTCCTTATAATCTTCAAAATTTTTCTTTTTCATATAAAATGCGTAGTCCTCCAGTATAGTAGCCAGCTGTACTACAGTCGTACACTCATGAATATTATACAACTTGTCGTCACCAAATTCAACAAACTGTTTCCATACACTTGATTTTGATTTTCGGGTATTGTCTGGTGTTATATTTTGAATTTCTTGTCTAATTACTTGTTAACTTTCTTTACCAAATCGCGACATTTCGCTATACAATTATTAAACTCAACGTAGAGACGTTTTAAACTAGTAATTATTAAGCTTTGTGACAGAACCTGTTAAACAAAAATGACAAATCAACATATGTCAAAAACAACAATACTCTGGCCAACTTGACAAGCAGTGAAACTAATTTAACATGTCAGGTTGGATTAATAATTTTTTTCCAAATTATGGTGTGAAATTTTCTTACCGAATACCATGCAAACTTAAATTATTCATGGAAATGTTCTTTTGGTCACGAATATTTTAGGAAAATGATCGTGATCTCAAAAAAATTTCCGGAAATAATTTAAGCTCTTGTGAAGTGAATACATATTTAGTTCAGTAATAAGACTAATTTAATTCTATTAAGGGCAATTCTTTTCACCTCTAGAAACTAGAACTCAAGCATAGCCCTTACCCCAATTATATTATTTATTCATGATGATTTTGGTACAAAAAAACTGCTTTGTTATTGAGTATAATCATTTAATTAGATTTGCACAACTTGCAAACCCAATCGACGTCATATACAAAAATAACGAAATAATTGTACACAATTAAATGGACTATGTGTATGGATAACTTATCGATGCACTTTACAAACCATAAATGAAAATTAATTAACATTGTATAAATATAATTCTAAAAAAATTTAAAACGCACCATCCAACATTTGTAACCCAAAATATTTCTACAGTTACTTATATCATTATTATTTTTTAGTCAGATTATGTATATCAAATAATTTCAGTTGAAATCGCATACAAGATTAATTTTGTATACGCGAATCGTTTCGAAAATAGAATTGAAACTGCATGAAATAACACGAAAAAATTTCTCGTGGGCGATTTAAAACGTAGGAGGAGATTTATCTCCAAAAAGTACATGTTTTCCCATGAAGAAATGAGATTACATTTTGAGTTAAAAAAACAAATGTTTAATGAAAAAATAATAGACGAATTATCGAATTTATTTTTTGCAGTGGCGGCTCGTGGGGTGGTTCACAGTGACAGAATATAGGTATCAGTACAGATGTATGAAAAAATTTTCAGTGTTTTAGAAAGTTTATAATATACCTTTCTAAAACACTGACAGTTTTTTTACCTATATCTGTACCGGAATCTATATTCTGCTACTGTGAACCCCCAAAATTTTGGTCACGAGCCGCCCCTGATTTTTTGTTCGTATTTCCCTTGAAATAGATTATTCGATAATCTTTGAAAAATCAAAAATAATCGATTAATCAAAAATATATTATTTATTATAATAAAAAAAACCCAATTATCGATTATTTTAAATAATCGATTATTATCATCTATTGTTTTCGTATTTCCTTTAATATTGATCGTTCGATTATCTTCGAATATCAAAAATAATCGATCACCTATTCGAAAATAATTGATTAATCGAAAATAATCTATTAATCGAAAATAATCGATTAATTAGAAGCCGATTCTACGAGAAATCGATTTTCCAAAAAAATAACCGACTTATCGATTATTTTCATATAATCTATTTTTTTGGTATTTCCTTTAAAATTGAATATCGGATCTTTGAAAAATCGAAAAGA